CCAATGCGTTATGCTAAATACTGGGACATTCCGCATGCATTCGTTTCGATTTGCACGGTTTCGTATGTCGCTGTTGCCACGATTACTGCGCAGAGACACCAGCGTTGAAAATGAGTCCTCACCCTATGAGGGGTCAATATCACAGGTCACATGTGTCGATGCTCATCCGTGCCACTCGGCTCATGGGATAGAGTTTTCCATGCATGCGCCGATAGATGGAATGCCATAATTCATAACGTTTACTCAGTATGCCGTCAGTTCGTTCCACCACCTGCACAGTGAGCTTGCAGCCTTGAATTTTGTTCTACGCTCCGCCGTTATTTTACACCGACCTCCGCCCGTACTCCTCCCCCCCCCCCCCTCCCCTCCCATAGGCAAAAAGTCCCCGATGCACACCCAGCTCGGGAATTCCTTCAATCGCTATTTACCAAAACTTTTTCAGCAATGGACGCACGATGAATCGTAAAACTCTCCATTGTAAGAGCAAGTGGAAGTCATATGATCCTCATGGATCTTCACGCAAAACTTGGAATTCGAAAATGGAAAATGTTGTGCTTCAAGAATATGAGAGCATATGAGTGGGTCGTAATGTTTCAGAGTATCTGGAACAAGGACAACATAATTTGATATACGTTATGCACGCTAATGCCAACTAATTTTTTACCCGAAGCGAAAAATAAAATGTGTTTGTAATGCTAACACAATTTGTTTTAGCAACAATCCTGCCGTCTTTTCACACCAGGCGCGAAGCGCACCTGTATGCGAAGCGTGCCTGCGTGTCATCAAAATCGATCCATTGCGACGCGCTGACATCCCGTGGTGTAACAGCAGCACAGCCGCGGACGAGCAGCCGCTCGTCGGACACCCACGCGTCATGTCGGAGCACGTCAGTGGCCCCACTCCAGGCGGGCGGCGTCTCCCTTTCACGCCGGCGGGCAGCGCGTTCTGCTGACGCCGCCGTGATGAGGGAGGGGGAGGCTGGCTGCTGGCTGCGCTGCACCCTCGGCGGTGCACCCTGCCCGGGTCAGACAGACTATCGCCTACAGAAGCCGAGGCTGTGGCGCGCCGCGTCTCCGCGCTCAGGACGGCTCCAGGCGAGCGAAAGCCAGGCTCCCGGCGTAGTTGAGCATGCGTGTGTTGGATGGGGCTGATTCGGTTGTGAGTGGTTGGCGTTGAAGGCATGCTCCGTTCTGACCTTGGGGTTTTCACCTGCGCTGATGCCCGGAAGGTAGAAAACCAGCAAATGGTCTTAATTTCACCCAGCTGTCAACAATTTTCGTGGGCTTGAGAAATGATCATGGGCTTGGAAATCGAACTAAAAAAAGAGAAATGGAGAGTCGGCGGGGACGCGTTTTTAATCCAAGTTTTTATGAGGCTGTTTCTTTTTAACCAAACCTAAACAAAGCTTGCATGGGCGGATCCCTTCTTTTCAGTTCACGCACCTCAGGCGTAACCAGCGCACCAGCAGAGCCTTGGCATTCCAGTCGGCTCAGTGCATGTAAGGCTGATGTGAGAAGCCGACCCTTTAGCCCAACGATGCTGCTCCCTACCGACCTTGCTCCCCGGCGCCTTGCCTGCGGGCCCAAGGCACATCAGTGTTTCTATTATCCTCAGCCCGATCGAACGGATTGCAAGCCCCTTCATGCCGCACCACCCACTGCTCTAGCCATCAACTGCTCGTATACGCATCGGCACACGTGAGTTTAGGGACATCGCGAACGGATGGCAGCGTTGACCATGTGCATCCTGCTTTGAAGGCCAACCAACATTCAGCCTGTGACGACGCCTGTCATGCTTTACGCCGTTTTATGGAGAAAGGCAAGGAGCCATATGGACCTAACATTTCCTGCGTATGAGCCTCGCCATAGCTTTACATAATTCGGGATGAAATGGCACAGGGGCGTCGATTTATGTAAATTATTGGGAGAAGGCCTAGCCTAGGGCCTGACGGCCTATTCTCTCCTCAAATGTGTGTTTGTCAATGGACTTAGCCCACTTTCTTTTACGAACAGCTAGTTCTGTTACCTATATTTTGCATCGTGTGTCAAAAAGTCCGATATGACAGTAACGTAGCGGCTAGTCATGGTCATCGAATCACGCCCAAATAATGCAGCCTTTGTGAGAAAGCTCATTTCTTTTTGTGGGTATAAGCCTGACGCAAACACTGGAGGTACCCGAACCGACAATGCAGGGGGATCAACATTGTCATGCCTAGGCCCTCACAACAGAGTGCAAATCGACACCCCTGAAATGGCGAAGCTGCGCGCATTTTAGTGGTGACGGTAACCCATGCCGTGCATTTGCATCGTGTTTCACAACAACTGTAGGATCACAACAGGTGACCCGATACAGTTGCAGGAACACCGAGTTTAAGGTAGAAGACTGGCGGTGTCTGAACTGCCACAGGCTGCTCGCCGCGCAGTCTTCCATACGGAGAGACGCTGAGGACGGAGGACGCAAGCAAGCGTGAAGGTACGAAGACGGTGAAGGCATTTGCGCCAGGCAAGGCATGATTCTTCAGCGTCGATTAATTCACATACCATGTTGTCAGTAACTGCAGAATTTATACAACCAAAGCGTTTGATCGGAGATTGATTCTGAATAATTCGCGGCATCGCACGCTGCCCAAACAATGCTAATTGGCTAATTTCACGAGCAGCTTTGCTCGTGCATCAATGCGCACACAATCGAAAGCCGGCCGCCAAATATGCGCAGCACCGTAATTAATCCACTTTTTACGGCGTGCCCGTGGGCGGTTGCGCGTTTTCCTTTTGCCGCACACACATTCCAGCCAGCTTCAGGCTTTTGGTGGCCTGACAGGAAGCGTGGGTCCGAGGCGGCAGCTTTCCTCTTAATCTTTGTGAGTCGTAAAAGGGCTTTTGGGTGATGAGCGCAGGGCTTCCTTGTGTCACATGAAATATCTGGATGATGAGTGCAGCTCTTCCTTGTGTCATATCAGGGTTTTGGATGATGAGTGCATCTCTTCCCTGTGTCATAAGACGGTTTCTGGGTTATGATGAGTGCAAGTCTTCCTTGCGTCATTTAAGGGTTTTGGATGACTGCAGTTCTTCCGCGCACCTTTAAAACAATAGCTTGCGGATAACGGCCATGGTCGCTGTACTTTCCGAGACCATATGACCATCTTCCAGAAATTGCGTGAGCTAGCCATCGAGGTTGACCACACAGAACGCTGCTTAAGCGGAGCATCAACTTTCCTTAATGTGGTGATCAGCCGTCGCATGTGTTTTCTAGCAGTCTAGCAAGTCATCCAAACGCAAATGAAATGCATTCAACGCAATTTCGGTTAATGTGGGTGTATATTCCACCTTGTCTTGCACCATTAAAATACAGGGGTTCAAGTTCTCTTTCAATATATATTGGCAAACGCCCGGCTTCTGAGTTGGCAAACAAGCATCAGCAAGTGCACCATTTGTACGACACTCTGTGCCAAACAATCGAGAACAGCTGGGAAAAGGGCATCGTCTGCGATCACACACACAGATGTTGGGACCAAACCACAGCATAGCGGTCCCAACAGATTCTGAACCGGTTTGATATCCGGAGATGCAAACGCATCACTTGATGGGCATCTCATGCCACTCACTCTTCACAGAACCTGACAAAAACTGTGGCGTTCCCGTGCCCGAAGTCACTGTTGAGCACCAACCAATGCTAATAAAATATAGAACATCGCTGCACAACAGACGCATCGCATCAGGTCCAGCCGACGACAAACTGATAACAGTATCTAAGCCCTTCAAAGCAGCGAAAGAAGCATAAAATTGCCCATCAGCATCCGGTTTTTAAGCCAGGAGATCGCTATGTCGCCCACGAGCACTTCGAAGGCTGGCGCAAGTTCCCCTGAGAAAGGAGCCAGCCCGGCGCGCGTCCTCACGTGTCGCGCTTACTTCAAGCGCATCGCACGAACACCGAAGCCTCGTCTACCACGACAAGCCCCAGCGGCGCCGGGGCGTCGGTACCACATAGGACGCGGCCGCCACCAGCGCAGGCGTCTGCGGACAGCGGGGCGGCACGGGTGGACGGAGGAGGGGACAGGTCAGGCCACAGCCGGCATAGGTCAGGTCTCAGCCGGTACAGGTCAGGCAGGAACGGGGAGGTCAGACCGCAGCCGGCATAGGTCAGGTCTCAGCCGGGTCAGGTCAGGCAGTCACGGGAGGTCAGACCGCAGCCGGCACAGGTCAGGTCTCAGCCGGATCAGGTCAGACAGGAGCACGGGAGGTCAGACCACAGCCGGGACGGATCAGACTACAGCCAGAATCAGCCCCAAGCCGGGACGGAACAGACCAGAGCGGGCCGCCGGGCAGGCGGCGGCGGTAACACCTCAGAGAACTAGGTCAGGTCGGCGCCTCTCGGCGGTCGCCGCCTGCCCAGCGGACCGGGCAGGCTCACGCCTTCGCCGCACCCCGGCGCCGGCTCCCTTGTCGCAACGGTAGGGAAGGACAAGGTCGCGGGAGCGGCCCTCGGTTCGCGCGCCCAACTTCCTCCCGCGGTCGTGTCGCGCGGCAAGGCCAGGCCGGGCGGCACACGGTCGGCCGGCGGCCGGCGACGCGTCGGCTTTCTCCGCGGGCGCCAGCGCTGATCCGCGCGGCGGGACGGGGCGGGGGCGGCGCGGGCCGGGCCGGCCTTGGATCGGTCACGTGATCAGCCGGTGCGAGAGGTGGTCAGACGAGTGGACGGTTTAGCGTGCCGGCGGCGGCCGGGCGCTCGGGGCAGGTGACAACAGAGGGAGGACGGCAGGGCACGGGCGCAGGGGCTCACGGGAGGCGCGCGGCGCCTTACCGCGCACGCGGCGGGCACACTGACTAAAGCTCAGTTCTACAGCACTGTAAAAGATACCCTTACCACAGCTCCACGAGTAGATTTTTTTGGTTGGGTTTTGTCATGCGTCGAACACAGACACAGTATATACAACAACAACAACAAGGGACAATGGCCAGTGCTGACCGATGTCAGGCCCGGCGGCGGCACGCGCGCCGCCGCTACGACTCGAGGGACGGCACCAGGTGATGGAACACGTGCTGGAAGTCGGCGAAGCCGGCGGCGGCAGCGCAACCGAGTGGGGGCTCGTCGCCGAACCGCACCTGCTCCTGCGGCGCGGCGTTCGGGTCGGCGTTCTCCCAGCCGAGCCGCGGTCGCTTGGTCGGCGACTCGCCGCCGTCACGCTTGGCGGGCAGCTCGTCGTCCTCGTCGAGCGGCCCCGATCAGCGCCGGCGCCGGCGGGTGGTAAATGTCACTGAACATCTCCTGCACGTCCGCCTCCAGCAGGCGGCCCTCGTCGCGCCGGCGGCGGCGGCGCTGGCCGCAGGTGTCGTGCGCGCCACCCAGCGAGCGACCCAGCGTGCGCGAGTAGGAGCGGGCGCCGCGAGAGCGCGCCACGCGCGCCGCCCGCTCAGCGCGCGCCTCGGTCTCCAGTCGCGCTGCCATGTTTTGCAGCAGCGTGGCTTGACGCAGGTCCTTCTCCCAGCGCAGGCAGCGCTCGTTTTCCTCGATGGCGGCGAGCTTCTCGGTGGCGAGCCTCAGTACCCGACGCCGCTCGTCGCGCGGCCGGCTCCGGGCTGCGGCCTGCCAGCGCCGCGGCGGCTCGTAGTCGTCGGCGGCGTAGGGCGCCGCCGCGTCGGCCGCCGGGCCGTCAAGGACGCCGGGTTCGCAGCTCTCGGCCGGGTCGGGCTTGTCTGGGGGAAAGCGGTGCCGTTAGCCGGTGGGGTAATGGGCGGCCGAGGCGTGGACGCCGGCGCGCCGCCGCCCCGCACGCGCGCGGCGCCGCTGTGCGTGCGGCAGGCAAGGGCGTGCACGGAGTCACGTGTGCTTTCCAAAAGTCTGAGATTAAACACTAGGTCGACCATGGTGATTGCAATTGGGTTCTTTTAAATGGCAGAGAACGCAGGTCCACGGTGCGCAGATAAGGCGACGTGTATACGTCGTCACGACAGTCCAGCTTGGCTGGGACCAATCATCTGTAGCACGCCTAAATGTTTGTGTTACGATTGGCGTAATGCAGCTACTGCGACCACCACGACGATGCATGTAAGCCACAGTGTATGAACACAACTGGGCTGAGTTCGGGGACAAACACACATGAAAGGAACATGCCAAGCAAAGCGGACCGTCTCAAATCCGCCACCACGATCAAAAGAACTACCACCACCCAGGCGAACAGCACAGCACGCTAAACAGACCAACACGAAGCATCCACTCGGCGGCCTGAGCCCGGACACGCGACGCGGCTCAGTTCGCCCGGTATGCACGTAACGCTATAACAGTTGTGGGAGTGGGTGAGCGGGCTCACGATACCCCCCACACACACACCAGCGTCAGCTACTCCCCGTCCCCCGTCCGCGCCAGTCCGGCGGCGGCCCTCGCGGCCGGCTTCTCCGCCCGCCCTCCCAGCGCGCGACCGTACCTCTGAGCTCCGGTCGGGGGCAGCAGTCCGGGTCGTGGCGGGTGTCCCCCGCCGCGCCACTCCACGCAGGGCACTCGCCCATATCTCGCCGCGACAGCACAGCACGCGCGGCGCCGCCCGTCGGCGCGCGGGTCACACCAGCGCCGTGCACTGTAGCCCCGCACGGCGCGCACAGCTGGTCGGGCAGGCGTCCGCCCCGCGCCACCGACCGCTCGAAAGTGCACATGTTTACCTTCACGGCGCGCCCGGCGGCTGGGCGGTCGGCCGGCCGCCGGGCGGCCTTCAAGCTGCCCCTGCTCACATAAAAACCCGGCCGGGCCGAAAGGCGGCACTTCTCCGAAAATGGTGCCCGCGCGGGCAAGGTCGCCACGGCGCCCGCGGCGGCTGGGCGCCGTCGCCCGGGAGGCGACGCCGTCTTACTGCCGGCGGCCAAGTCTCGCTGAAGAGAGTTAAACTCCTCGAGGAGTGTGGCTGCCGAGATGGCTGAGACTGGGGGGTGGGGGGACACATCGGGGCCCAACCGGCGGGGGGTGGCGCGCTGTTTCCGTCGTGCCACAGTAGTCCACTGCCGAGCTAGAGGTGGCAATAGACTCACCGCGGCGCCCGCGACCGGACAGCAGCAGACTCGCACCTCGCGTCCGGTACCCCGTACCGTCCTCACTTTTCGCCGCCAGCAGCCGCAGCCCACTCTCGCTCGGCTGCGGCGGGAAGAGTTGCTTCACGCGGGCGCCGTCCGCCCAACCCAGCAGGCGCCTTATCTCACTCCCAGCGGGCATTCTCGGTAATGACCTGGTTTTTCATCGGCCGGGTGGAGGTCGCAGCAGACCACGTGATTCGGTTGTGGCCTCGGTGCTCCTCTGCAGACTCTCGGACCGGGTCTGCGACCAAGGACGTCGGCACCGGTGGGGTTGGGAGTGGGAGGGAGGGGCGGGGGCGGGACAGGTGCCCGGCGTCCTGACACTTGTGGCATGCTACAGGTGCCAATGTTCCGAAGGACTCGGAACCAATCGTCAATGCCGAGCAAGCCCTGTGCACGGGTGCCGATTTTTTTTAAAGGTACGGGGCTTTCTTAACGATCTTTTCCCTCCTTTGTTACGTTTTTTCAGTGAATGCGTCACTTCTCTGGCCATGCAAAAAAACGCTGCTCTACTGGCACGCAATGTCCAATAACCGAGCCGACAGACAATATCCCAGATGCGAGCGACCTGAAACTCGCCGTCGTGTACCACAGAGGATCTCGAGTATTACGACGTCACATTAAGATCTCGATACATCCCGGCGAGCCGCATGGCGCGCGGCGCCGGTCGGAACGCGCTCCCCGTCTGGGGGAGACGGGAGCGTCATCTTCGAGCCGGGGCCGGCACCACCGAAACCCGGGACCGGGACCGGGACCGGACCCGGTGCTGGGTCGACGAGACGGGCCGTGGGGACGGCAGACTTCGGCAGGACCTCACAGCGAGCACCGGCCGCACGGACGGCGTCTGCTGCCGGGCCCGGCGCTCGGTACTGATTCGGCTGGCGGTCGTCGCTCGCTCGGAAATGCGGTCACTGCAGGTCGCTTGGACCATCGAAGGCGACCCCCAAGACTCTCCAAGCCGTTCAAGACCTGGGATCGGCACTCCACGTCGGAGAACAATTGCGTTGGATGCGATTCAGCGTGTAACATCCAAGACTCTGTCACACAGTGAACATTCCTGTTCGTCATGTCATGCCGTGCCGCCTACGGAGCGCGAGGTCCACACCAGACACAGCTGCAGCGGTCGATGCAGCGACACTGGTGAGCGCAAACACGTCGGGCAACGACGGCCATCGAACAAGGCCTGAAGGACATTTTCGGCGAGGCGAACGCGACGGCGCAGTGCCGGTGGTGCAGTACCAGTGCCGTGCCGATACAGCACGAAGCGACGGTGCAGTGCCGGCGGTGCAGTACCAGTGCCGTGCCGGTACAACACGCAGCGACGCTGCAGTGCCGGCGGTGCAGTACCAGTGCCGTGCCGGTACAGCACGCAACTACGGTGCAGTGACGGAGAGACGCGGCTGGTGGCGACGAGCGAGCCTCGTGTCCGTTTCACCGGGCGGCGGACAGCGAAAGGCTGCGAGTGCAGCGACGCCGGATGCCGGCTCGTTGGTCGGAGAGAGGCCGCGCGCCGTCTGGAGCGCGTCCGACAGATGGTCCGTTCCGTGCCGTTTTAATCGTGGCCCTGCTTTCACCCAGCTCGCGCCCGACGGGGCGGAACTGGGCACGATGTGGTCGCAAACGCATCGGTGCAACCGCTGGCCGGCGACGAAGGCCCGGTATTGGTACGGCGGCAACAGGAGGTACACGATGCCAAGCGACGGTCACGGAGCGCACCAGCCTGGCGGGCCTCGCTGGACCGCCGCCCCCAGATAAAACCGCTGCTGTCCTGGCGCTTCCGAATTTGCTTCGGGGAGCACCTTGTCTGCATTTGATGCTGTTCACATGGTGATAGCAACGCAGTGCTTTTCGCCGCCATCCCAGCTCCTGTTCGCGTCGGCGATCAGATCCGCAGTTATTTGGGTCGCTGTCTGATATCTGTAAAGGTCTGGCACTAAAACAACGCACTGACTGATGCCAATAACTTTTTGCTGATATGTATATAGCTTGATATCAAGTGATGCACAAAGTTTGGAATGAACTTCACATCGGTGCATGCATGAAGTTTAATTTTGGCTGTGATTGTGTGACAATGACCAACCACAGCGGTTAAAACCGCAGCAATAAATCATGCCATCTTAGCTAAAGCTCCAATTATCAAGCGCACCATCTTGGCTAAAACCTTAATAATCAGCCAACCCATCTTCCTCCTGCGCATACAATTCGGCGGTTTTCCGCGGTTTTCCACACCGCCTGCGGTAGCCCGGATGGTGATAACGGACAATCAGTGTGGCAACTCAGTTGCGTACGGTACTGTCTGCGGCAGACAGGGCGTGACGACCCCCCTCCCCTCGCTCTCCTCTCCCGCGCCGTCTCTGTCCCGGGAGCGCTCTTGTCGCTCCGCCGACAGACTCCCGATTCCCACGCCCGGTCCCTGCGCCGCTGGGCTGTCGCGTGCGGGCCGCCCGGCCGTGCACGCCGCATGCAACCGACGTGCTTGATAATCAGCTCGGGCGCGGCCGCAGGCCGGCGCCGGTCGATCCATTGTGCCGCGCCGGGTCCGCGGTCGGCCGCCGCGCCCCGAAGCCGCCCCCACGCCAGACAACCAAACAACGCGCCGGTGTGCTGCTGCCCCGCGCCGGTCCGGACAGGCAGAAAGTCGGAACCGCATGGTCCCAGGGCCGCGAACCCAGGACTGACCCATCTGACTGCAGCTCCGCAAGCCCTCCCCAAGTCCTGTAGCCTGGACCGGATCGATCCAGGCCGTTTCGTGCTGCTCCGCTCGCTGCCACGGCCTGCCGCTCGGTGCCCTGCCCCGGCTGGGAGCAGCTCGCGCCGGACGCCGTTCGGCTCGGGGTCACGCCGCGCCGCCGCAGGCCACAGCGAGCCGCCGCGCCGCGGACGTCTCTCCGGTAGCGGCGCGGCCACAACCGGCGGCGCGTCCAGCGTCGCTGGCGCCCGCGGCACTCAGCGGGTGGTGTGAGCGAGGCAGGCGCCTTCTGTACAGCGACGCCGCTGCGTGATGCGAGACGGAGGGACGAAGAGAAGCGCACTGCTGAGACCGCCAGTGGGGAGACGCAGAGGGAGACGCGACCCCATGCACGAGGCGTCGTTGGTACGGGGGGGGGGGGGCAGCAGAAGGTGGAGCGGAGATCGCAGTGGGCAGCTCAGCAACCGTCCTGCAAGCCGTTCTTAAGCTGCGTGTTCGGGCTTCGCCAGCCGTCACATCTGAGCATTGTGCGCACACTCGCTGGGGCAAGAACCCGGCGGCGGCGGGCGTTGTGAAACTGGACCGGGTGTGAACACCCCACCCCCCCCCCCCTCCCCAGGAGACTGAGCGGGACGAAACGGCCGGTCAGCAGGGCCATGCCCGCCAGCAGGAACCGTCCCTGAACGCATGATGCACTTGACAAGACTGTCCTGTCCTGTCCTGTCCTGTCCTGTCCTGTCCTGTCCTGTCCTGTCCTGTCCTGTCCCGTCTTGTACCGCCCCGTCCTTCGCTGCCTTGCCTTTCCCTGTCCTGTCCCTACTTCACTGACCTGACCTGACCCGACCTGTCGATCGACAGGAGTCAACCCCGATGAGAGCAGGGCGCCCGTCTAGGCCCACTCAGAAACTGGCCGGATGAAGGCGGCTGAAGACGCAGCTCGGCCGCG